TTGATTATAATGACTCTTAGCTCACAAGTTTAAATTATAGAATATGCATCATCATCTTTAAAGTCACTTTCAACTCTGGTTCTTTGAGTGCAAATGGCAAAGGCCAATTTTTTTATTCTCGTGACCTTTCAGTTATTTCTTAGAATTAATATTCTTTGAGTAGCATATTCATCTTACCTTCTGATCTTCTTTTCCATGTATATCACCTTATAGATATTTTATCTGAAGACTTTGTTTAGAGTAGTATGTACTTGGTCTTCATTTGATACTGATACAGAAAACACCCTTAGGGTTTCAAGTGAGTTTGCCCTTTTCTAAGCAAAAAATTAGTCATGTCCTTTGTCTCCCAGCTTATACTAAGCTGCCCAAGGCCTTCTCTTCTCTGCATATATGCTAGGCTTTAAAAAATAAATTTATAATTTATACCTTATCAATACTTAGGATTTGAAACTGCCCAATTCTCAGATATTATCCTGGTGTCTCTTATTTTTTGTCTTTTTTTCTTAGTAGCATTGTCATAAATATATAGAAGACTCCCTATTCAAGTAGCATGAGTTAAGTTGCTAAAAAATAGTGCAGTACATTTAATAAAATAACAATATTATCCCTGCTTTAAAGATAACCATTTTATGGTATACAGCATTGATGCAGTATTTTGTAGAGTGTAGTAGGGAGTTACTAAGTTCTTTGAATGGATGAATGCTGGAGATACTCACAGTAAAATACAGATGTGTAGTCTTTATTTTTATTTATTTATTTATTTATTTTGTGAGGAAGATCAGCCCTGAGCTAACATCCGTGCCAGTCTTCCTCTTTTTGCTGAGGAAGACTGGCCCTGGGCTAACATCTGTGCCCGCCTTCCTCCACTTTATATGGTACGCCACCACAGCATGGCCTGACAAGCGGTGCTCGCCCGGGATCCGAACCCAGGCCGCCAGCAGCGGAGCACGCGCACTGAACTGCTACGCCACGGGGCCGGCCCCAGAGACGTGTAGTCTTTAAAAGCTTGTTACTATAATAAGACTTTTTAGTGTCACTTACACGTTTTAAACTTATTAATATACGCAATAATGGAAAGTCAGAATTGGTTCAGTATGTTCACAGTTCATTCATTAGAAAGCCAGAGCTTCATGTCTGGGAGTAAGTGTCACTTTCAGGGTTCTGACACTCAGCTTGCATCCGTCCATGGACCATGTTAGGACCTCATCTATGTTCACATCTCTCTTCTGCAATTCAGACTTCCAGGCCGAACTGATTCCCAAATTCTCTCCAGAGAACCACAGTACTGTTCACTAACTTGAAAAATTTTGCAATTTTAAATAGAAATAAACTCCCCGCCAAATTTTGCAAGACCTAAAATCATTAGAATGTCTATTTTAGCCACTTTAACTCATCTTTAGAGAACCTTATCAGGTTCACAGTTGCTCCTAAAAAACTTTCTGAATTTTATTTATTCACTGCAAGCCACTGAGATGGTATTGTAAGGCAGCTTTGAGACATGAAAAAAGAATGTATTGTCTAATGGAACCAAAAGAGTAGCAAATCTATGCCTGATAACATTAAATTCAATAATTTATGATCGGGATTAGGAATTTGGTTTACAATTTTAGAAAAACCTACACAGTGAGTTTTCAGGTTAGCAGCCCTACCACTACTTACCTTTCTGAGAGCTGGGTAGTGGTGTGTGTTAGAAAGTCAAACTCATGTTTAGTAGGTTTATTGTAACAGATCTGGCCTGGCAACTAAACAAAATACAGAGTTCATAAAAGGACGTTATTATCTGGCCATCAGTATGCAGTATATTTGATGATGTGGACAACAGGGAGACAGAAACTGATCTGTGTTTTGTGAAATATTAATTAATGCATGACTTGCTGCAAAACAAAAAACAAGACAACAAGTAAACAGAAAACAACCAAACAAAACACAAGATGTGGGACTCCTCAAGTGGTATGAGGGAGCAGCAGCACATGTGGGGACTAGGCTGGTGGGCATGTTGGCAGAGGTATGAAGTACATGCAGAAATGTTTCTGTTAATGTATTTGTGTGTGTGATTTCCCTGTCACATGACTCAAATTGTCAAAAACTGTTTTAAGTGACAGGGGTTGGGCTTGGTGAAAATTGTATGAAAGAAATTATATTCAGTTAACTAGACTGTTTTTTTTTTTGTGTATGTGAGGAAGATCAGTCCTGAGCTAACATCCATGCCAATCCTCCTTTTTTTGCTGAGGAAGACTGGCCCTGGGCTAACATCCATGCCCATCTTCCTCTACTTTATATGGGACACCGCCACAGCATGGCTTAACAAGCGATGCATCGGTGTGTGCCCGGGATCCGAACCTGCAAACCCCGGGCTGCCGCAGTGGAGCGCGCGCACTTAACCGCTACGCCACCAGGCCGGCCCCAACTAGATTATTTCCTGAGCAAAGCTAATGAAAGAAATTTGGTGACTATATCAAAGCAACAACATTGAGACTTGGCTAAGGCCTTTTGAAAAATTTTAAAGATTATACTGACATTAGAAATTGTTTTAATTATCTCTCTGAAACTGAACGGACAAGATAAAAGTAATGATAATTATGTCTTAAAATACCTTTGTTATCTCAGACTACATCATTTTCAAAATTTTCCATTGTGAGAGAGGTGTACCAAGTATAAAGAAAGTTTGTCAGGATCTAGTAAATATTGCTAGAAAGTATGAGATAGAATCCCATTTTAGCAAAGCCATCAGGAAGTGGAAAGACCTATTGTCATGGTACATGGAAGTGAATTTTTTAAAACTTATTGTGAAATATGTCAGCTGTAACAGAGAAACATATTTAAGGTTTGTGCATCCTAAATAATAATAATATAAATGAATACCCATTTACTCACCATCCAGCTTAAGAAATACATAGAATACAACCCATATCTATAAAGCCATCTTATGCCCCTAACCAATTGCATCTCTCTCCATAGAGATAACTGCTATTGTGACTTTTCTGTTAATCTTTCTCTTTTTTTTCTTTATAGTTATACCACACGTGTATCTATTCTTAACCAATAAATTATTTAATTTTTCTTGTTTTGAACTTTATATAAATGTAATTATAACTGTGTATTTGAAGCTTGCTTTTCTCCACTTGATTTTTCAGTTTCATCCATGTTAATGCATGTAGCTACAGATCGTTAATTTTCCCTGCTGTATACTATGCCATTGTTTGCATATACTACAATTTGATTTATTTGTTCTAATGTTGATGGATATTTAGTGTGCTTCCAGTTCTTAGCTCTGTTACAAAGAGTGTTGTTATGAACATGTTTGTATATGTCTCCTGGTCTTATGTGCAAGAATTTCACTGGGGTACCTAGGAGCAGAATTAATGAGTCGAAGTTGCCTTACTGAGTCATGCCAAACCGTTTTCCAAAGTGTATGTATAAATGTTCTCATTGCTTTACATTCTCACTGACACTGTATCAAGCTCTAAGAATAACATAGCCACTCCATGCCTTTTTCATGATCACTTTTATTGTGTTCAAGTGGTAGATTGACTTCAGGCCAAATAGCAATTTCTTCTTACAGATACAAGCTCCAAGAGTTCCTGTTTCACAATTGACAATAGAAGTAACATCATGGGACTGATAAGTCAGGGAAAAAATTGTGTGAAGTGAGATTCCAAATATATGAAGAAAATATCTGTAGCATTTAATAGCCAGGATATACAGTTTTGTATGGCACAAGATTCATCATCTCTAACATGCCTGAGAGGTCTTATCTATAACAAGTACTTCATTTATTGAAGTAGGTCAATTATTTATTTTTAAAAAAATACGATAAACTCATTCTTTGAAAAAGTCAACATTTTATTTCTAGCAAATGGTATGTTAAGTCCACAGCTTATGTTTATGATAGTAAAATTGTAATTTTGGTATGTTTAGAGAAGTACTATCAAGCCTTCAGAAAGAATTGCCTTTTCTTCTCTATTCTCATTACAACTAGCCTAGTCCTGGTCTAATTCATAGCTTCCTATCTGTTCTCCCTCTCTTTTTTTTCTTAAAAACCCTCAAAATTGCAGTGGATCCCTATCACTTCAAATAAGACTCTTCTGCCTTGTTTATCCTCCTTGAGGACAGTAGCAGCACAGCATAGTAGAACGGATCTTAGAGCCACAGACACGGCATCTCTCTCCATTCTGCCACTTACTAGCTGAGCAATCTTAGGCAAGTCACTTGACTTCACTTAGTCTCAGTTTCCACAATTAACTACTTCAGAGGGTTGTAAGATTTTTTGATAGATATATATAAAGTACCAGTAGTTCAGAGCCTCATATTTAATAACTTTTCTGTGCAAGTTAAGCATGTACTGTGTACTTTACATATATTCTCTTTGATTTATTTTTTCTTGGCTGAGGAAGATTCTCCCTGAGCTAACATCTGTGCCAGTCTTCCTCTATTTTGTATGTGGGTCACTGCCACAGCATGGCTGCCCACAGGTGGTGTAGGTCCACGCCCAGAACCGAACCTGGGCCACTGAAGCAGAGCACGCTGAACTTAACAACTAGGCCACGGGGCTGGCCTCATCTCTTTGATTTTTAAAACGATTCTGCAAAAATATAGTAAAGGAAGCTGAGATTCTGGACGATTAAATAAATTGCCCAAGGTCCCACAGCTTGGAAAGGATTGAGCTGGAATTCAGTTCTAGGTCTGCCTGACTTTAGAGGCCAGGCACCCTCATACAGGCCATACCACACCATCTGTATTCTGCTTTTACCGTGACACACCTATCTCTCTTCTCTGAATTCATTTTTAGCTCTCATACACAATTTTCATTTTATTGTTTCGTAATTGTTTCATACAAATAGTGTAAATCTTTGAAGGCACAGGCCTTACTGTGTTTTATTTCTCATAGCCCAAACAGAGTATCCCACACCCATAAAGTACTCAGTAAATATTTGATTTATGTAGTACTACCTCTCATTTAGTTTCACCGTTGTTTTAATCTTTTATTTCCTTTTTTATAGCTCATATCAGCGGCCACGTGGCACTCTCCATTTGGATGATGGCGAATACTGGTCCAACAGGGCAGCCTCTTATAAAGGAAAATGCCACCGACCCATCTTTGAGAACAGCATGGACAAGATGTACAGGAACTTATACAAAAAGGCCTGTAGTTCTGTTTCTCATACACAGGAAAGCTTCTGAGACCATCTGCGATAAACTGTATGAGTGTCCGTGTCAACGTCTCAATGAAAACGTTTGATGTGATCAATATCTGTATTCCTTTTTTTTGTAAAGACCAGGGAGTTCTTGGGGCTGGCCCAGTAGCACAGTGATTAAGTTCACGCACTCCACTTCAGTGGCCTAGGGTTCGCAGGTTCGGATCCTGGACACAGACCTACGCCCCGCTTATCAAGCCATGCTGTGGCAGGCATCCCACATATAAAGTAGAGGAGGCTGGGCACGAATGTTACCCCAGGGCCAATCTTCCTCAGCAAAAAGAGGAGGATTGGCAATGGATGTTAGCTCGGGGCTAATCTTCCTCACCTAAAAAAAAAAAAAAACAATTCTAATTGAGTACAGTAGTTAGACTTAAATAAGTTCATTACTTCAGATGGTAAATGATCACAGGCAATCCTTTTTTTTATCACAGAAGAGAATGCTGTGTTCCAAAAGTCAGAGCTCTGCCAAACAGTCTCAGCGTGCAGTCTATGAAAAGGACATCTGTCACATCTATCCCATTTCACCATCTGCAAATCCAGGGTAGATTCTCTCCAGAAATAGTCTTCTGCCTTAGTCACCTTGGAATTTTCTTTTCATCTCCTTGACTGATTATCTTATCTTAGTAAGATTTAATTAATATTAGCTCCCTTTTCTTGATAATGAGCAAAAAGATATACTGTACAGAAATTAATTTCCCGAGTGTTTAAACCCTATTTTAGCTAGTATTTTCTACTCTTTTCTCCCTTAGAAAGGGCTATTTATATTTCTTAGCTCATAAGAAATAGCTTTCTTTTTAAGGTTTGTATAATCATTCACTCCCTCTCTAAGAGAACTACCTGTTACCTAAAATGTGTAGCAGTTAGGTAGATATAGCAGTGGCCGTGTATGACGCAAAATGTGAGTAACTGATTTTTAAAGACAGGATTCTTGGCATGGTTTTCTTCTTTAGGCCATATCTTTTAGTGCAACCAGAATCAGAAAATAACCTTTGTTAATGAGCGTGTACAGACTCAAAAAGAATAAGGGAATTATATTGTAATTTTACCTCTTTAGAGTTTTCATAGATACCAAATGGTCCAAGAAAGTAGTATGCTTACTTTAAAGGACACTTGGAGCCATTAAGGGGAGTAAAATATTATAACAGAACTCTTTGAAGTAGGCACTGGAAAGTCTGGTGGTTGATAAAATTAGCTCCTCCCTCATCCCCCAAATACAAACCTTTGAGGCCAGTGAACTTTGAAGATGTGAAGAAATCAGTTACCTCGTATTTATCAGAGAGTGAGTGGAAGGAAAGCAGAGAATAGGAAATAGGTGAACTTGGCTTACAAGCTGGAAGAGTTGACTACAAGGTCGTGTTTTCTCATTGACTCCATCTTTGGCTATTTCTACAGTTATGATTTAAAAAGAAAAAAAAATTGACTTGAACTTCACTTGAATTGAAATTAATGTGTAAAATTGGCTGACTTCTTTTTATATTAGGAGAAAATATATAATGCTCGTTCTCTAATAATAGGACTTTTGAACTTCATGCTAAGAGTGTTGTAGTATGGCAGTCTGATATATCAGAAAGCACATCAGAGATAGGAGCCGGGAGTCCTGGGCTTTAGTTCCATCTCTGCCATTTTCTAGCGGAGTCTCTTTACTTCTCTGGTCTTTGGTTTCCTCGGCTGTCAAATGAAGAGAATGGAGTAGATCAGCATTTCCTGAACCGTGTTCTGTGGAACACTGATCAGGAGATGGTTGTAGGAATGTAGACCCCAGTGTTTCGTTGGTCATATAAGTTGAGGAAAACCTGTGCACTATATTCACTCCCCTCTTCCCGCCCCCTTCCCCCTCCCCCAGTTTAGAGAGTCATAGGTAGGATGGCGGGTGAAAGGGCGTGCTATTGATGCAGAAACAACAGTTATAACCTGGAGCTGTCCCACAAACTAGGACATGTGGTCATCATAGTCATAGTCAACATTAGCATGGTGGAGGCTCTAAGAAATCCTGGTGTAAACCTGTTTTGCTCTAGCACCTAGTAGAGAGTCAGGCACATAGTCGGTGCTCATTAAATATTGAATTACTCCAGAATTTCCTAAGCTAAATTGAGGATGTAACACTATTTGTTGTTATGGCCATCCGTCCCCTTCCATTCTGCCCCCCTCAGCTCTCCACACTCCCTCTCAAATGCCATCCTCAGATACATGTGGACCCCAGTTGGGGACATGATGGACTATACGATCACTGAGGTACTCTCCCGCTGTAGGTTATATGATGTTTTGTACAGTAAGTTTTTGGAGGTCAACATTGAATAATGCCCTTTTTAAAAACATCACATCCTCAGTGAAACTTAGCCAGCTCTGGTGGTCTAGTAGTTAAGATCAGCACTCTCAGCACCACGGCCGGGATTCATTTCCCACTCAGGGAACCACACCAACCGTCGGTTGTTTGTCATACTGTGGTGGCTGCGTGTTGCTGTGATGCTGAAAGCTATGCCACTGGTATTTCAGATACCAGCAGGGTCACCCATGGTGGACAGGTTTCAGAGAAGCTTCCAGACTAGACAAACTAGGAAGAAGGACCTGGCCGCCCACTGCTGAAAAATTAGCCGTGAAAACCCTATGAATAGCAAAGGAGCATTGTCTGATATAGCACCGGAAGGTAAGAAGATGGTACAAAAGACCAGGTGGGGTTCAACTGTGTTCTACACAGGGGTGCTAGGAGTCAGAATCGATTCAATGTCACTAACAACAGTGAAACATAGTATGGTTTTTGTGTATGTGTGGAAACAAATGAAAATTTCTTCCATGTAAAAATGCTGCTTGGTAAAAAGGACAAATATGAACTTCAAAGAAAATGTTTGCTATCCTAGAAAATCTCCTGAGTGAATAAGTTCTTACTGCACCTGTATCTCCCTTTGGCTGTGACAAAGGCCGCGAAAAGTGGGTCTCAAAGGGGATCTTCAGAAGGTGACATTCTGAAAGACATTTTCCTGTGGATTAAAGTTGACATCTCTCTGAAGGATCAGGTGCAAATTTCCAGATATGTAGCATCTTTGCTAAGAGTCTGATTATGTCCATTCCCTAGGGTGAAAAATAGTCTTTGTTGCTATCCCTAACTATTCCTGTGAATTCTTATGTTGTATTATCTTTAAAGAGTAAAGCCTGTAAATACTAATAGTTGTCTTTTCTCATTGGTAGAAGCAGAAAGATGCAGCTGTTTATTCTCTTAGCCTTTTTTCTCTTTTTTCCACAGTCTAGTAATAGTTATTGGACTTAATCTGAAAGATAAATAAGCCTTACTTCTTCCTTTTAATGTATTTTTTTCCTTTAAATAAAAAAAACCCTTGGAATATTAGGAAGAAAAATGTCAATTCAACTAAGAAAAAAGATGAATCATTGAACTGAAAGTGAGTTCTCCCCAGTTCCACTACTAGTTATATAACCTTGTTTAAGTCGTTTATCCTTCTTGGAGCTCAGTTTTCTTACCTATATGGTGATGAAGGGGTTAAGTTAGAATGATCTCTTAACGCTCCAACATTTCTATGATTGTATAATTGATTAATGTGGAAGATCAGGAATGTGGGCAGCAGAGTTGTTTTGTGACTTCAAAGATTAAAAATCTGGAGCAAATAGAGAATTATCATTATTGTGTTCATTTTCTAATAATAGCTTTATGAGAAATAATCACATGCTGTAAAATTCACCCTTTGAAAGTATACAGTTGAGTAGTTTTTAGTATATTGACAGAGTTATGCAACTATAACCACTAGCTAATTATAAAATATTTCATCACTCCAAAAAGAAATCCTGTACCCATTAGCAATCACTTCTCACTCCCCTCTCCCCTCAACTCTCGGCAACCACTTATCTGCATTCTGTTTCTATGCCTATTCTGAACATTTCGTACAAATGCAGTCATACATTGTGTGGCCTTTTGTGTCTGGCTTCTTTCACTTAGCGTGTTTTCAGAGTTTGTCCATGTTGTAACATGTATCAGTACTTCATTTCTTTTTGTTACTAAATAATAATCCACTGTATGGTTATACCACATTTTGTTTATTCATTCAGTTGATGGGGATTTTCATTGTTTTCACTTTTAAGATATTATGAAAAATGCTGGTATGAACATTTGTGTACAAGTTTTTGTGAGAACATATGTTTCCATTTCTCTTGAGTATACACCTAGGAGAGGAATTGCTGGGTCATATGGAAACTCTATATTTAACATTTTGAGTAATTGCCAAACTGTTTTCCAAAGTGACTCTACCATTCTACAATTATTGTGTTTATTTTTATCTTACCTTAAGATCTTAGGCCAGTTACACATTCAAGCATTCATCCACCCATTCATCACATATTTATTGAGCTCTGTGTTAGATGTAGAGGGTATAAAATTTTAAAATGCATCTTCCCACATGTGTGAAGAGTCTATTGAGAGAGACGAATAACAGTGTATTTCAACATTTACAGTAGTTTAGTAACTTCTATGATATAAGAATGCAAGAATGGGGATAGGGCAACAGAACTTGCAAAAGCGTGAAAATAAGAGAAAGCATGATTGTTCAGGAAACTTCAAGTGCTTTAGCTGGAGATGGTGTGTGAGGTTGCAAATGCTTCAGTAGGATATGATGAGTGCAATAAGAGAACCACAAAGAGAATGACAGGCCTGGAGCAGGATTAGAAAAGGCGACCTTTGAGCTGGACATTGAAGGACTTTCGAGAATAGGAAATCAAAATGGCATAAACTAAATATTGATCAGGTTTTTTGAGGGTGGAGATGGGATCGAAGAAAGTGTCCGGTAATCAGTTAAAAATAAAGATCTAGAACTTGAGAGAACTCAAGAACAGAAAATGGATTTGTGAAGTCAGATAAAAATGATGAAGTCTGATAATAAATGAAAGCTCTATGTTGTCCTTGTCCTAATTTGTATGTGACCATAATAGGCATCCAGAGGGTAATAGACCCCGAGCAATTGCACATTTTGCTTATTATTGGGGCCCTGGTGGTGGCAAGTTAGTTTGAGGGCCATCCTTTTAGGAATTAAGAAAAATATTCTTCTCCCAATC